ACTTACAATTATTTCTAATAAATATTCTTTTTTATATTATAAGCGTATGTATATTACACAGCTTATGATAATGTCTATGAACTATTGCATACAGCACTCATGGTGGCTAGTCTTCTTCCTTCTTCGAAAAGAAAAATCTTCACACTAAATACACACACGCGGTTACAAAAGAACGCGCACGAATTTTTTAAATAGATTTTCCTTGAAGACGATGATGGTGGACATAACGCTGCGGCGTCGACGACCGGGAAAGTTAGCAAGTTGTACAGTGGACTTCGTATCTCGCGAATTTCCATTCTCCACTATACAACCTACTACCTCACCCAGGCGTCGTCGCTGACGAGACGCTCTCCTCTTCTTGATCCTCCCTTGCCTGAACACTTTGCGATTGAGAATAATTTAAAAAGTAATATTTATAAGGCATCAATATTTTACATTTTATATTCATCATTAACACCTTCACTGTGCATTGACTCAAATATTATGGTTCATTAATGAAATTTATTTCCCAATTTTTACGCGGGTAATTAATCACATTCTTGTCCGGGACAGTGAACGCGTTAATACGGTAAAGAATCGTGCTCCAAAATTCATATTTCACGCTTGAATCTTGCAGAAAGAGCAGGTCACTAATTATGTCATGAACTCTGATCTTTCCTCGACTCTCCTTTTTTCTATTCTCTGAATCCCCCCCCATACATACATCGTTCGATCAAGAAAATTACTTTGGCAAGAAGGCTACCGTTGATAACCGGAAGTGCCGTGGGCATTCAGGAGCGCAGAGGGGTGTGAAGAAGGAGGAGGAGGAGGTTCCGTCGAAAAGCTTAAATGCTGGCCTGACTACATGTACCGGTAGATAGGAGCTTGCGGTATACATATAAAAAAGCCCACAAGTTCGGATCTACGGGTTAGTATCATCAAGTATAGCTGATAACCGCTATCAGTCCTCGCTTCCCTTTCCTCAGAATGTACCTCAATCGTATCTGAAATCAATAAATCGGTATTTAATCTACAATTAATGTTTCATAGACAGTGAATATAGTATTGCTTTTTTTCTCTAACACACACACACACACACACGTACATTAATCTGTTTTGTAAAATTTAATTTGATTAATTCTATCGATTAATTGAAAGAAAAGTTTGAACGATTTGACTCCGAGAAACTGAGATCTGGGCCCCGTAAAAGGGAATCGTTTCTTTAGCTTCACTTCGCTGAAAGCTGAATTCGTTGTTCCGTAATGGACCTAACGACCATGATGATTTTCAGCGACGAATCTTGATAGTTGTCAAACTTATATACACGTGTATCTCAACTGTTACGCGATTCCGAGATATTATTGAAGGTGAAATTTCGCGTGGTGATTGGTCAAGAAGCTGTGGCAGTCGCACAGTTTGGGTTTCTCACGCGTGATCCCCGGCTTTGCCACGCCGTTGCCGGGTAGAGAGAGATCAGAAGGGCATAGAAAAAGAGGGCCGAAGCTATCCTACAAGAAACAAGACGAAGAAGAGGACGAAGGAGAAGATAGAGAAGGCGGAGAGAGAGAAGAAGAGCAAGAAGAATACGGGAGAGTAGGTAGAGGCTCCGGGCGTTGTAAAAATCCCTTGCCTGTTCGCTCCGTAGACAGTTGAATGGCCTCTGCAGCTCTCCTCGCACGGCCCTAAGGGATGTTAGGCATCTTTTCCAATTGACCAATCGCTCTCCATCCTTGGCTGGACTCTGAAATGCAACGATAAGTCAGAATGTATACCGAATAATCGGTAAAAGTCTACTTATACAAGTGTCGTACTTGAATATGCGAGCTCCAAAGGAATTCCTCCTCACGTTCCATACTCAAGTACGAGAAAGCCAATTAATGTTAACTTTACCTACGTGTTTTTTAAGTTTGCAATATAAACCGACGACGAGTCAGAAGTTTTAATCCGCAGAATCCAACGCTTCTCGGTACCGGGGAACAGCGATGAGAATCTTGAAGCTGTGCATTGTGGACGTGTCTTAAGGTCTGGAAGACGGCGGAGGCCTGGATGCAGGAGCTGTCGAGCGGGAATTGTGTACGCTGCACGAAAAGCTGCACTCCTCCCTCGATTCCCATCCAGTCTCTCCTCCTGCCATAAGAAACAGAAAAGGAAAAACGAAGTTTTAGCAGCTCGCAAAGTATCTTTCCGTATCGTTGAAAACTATAAGATTAAATCTACGAACTTCAACAGATACTACATACAACTAAATCTACTCTAATTTCCTACAGATCTCAATTTATACGTATGCATTTAAGTCACAGTATATCAAAGTCCCGGCCGTATGAATCAAAGATTCACACAGGTAGGGCTGCCAATCAAAGACGGTTGGCACGACTGGAGGAGCAGTAAAAGTAGCAGGAAAAGATAAGAGGATCAGAGGCCTCCCCTTCTCGCTCGGTTTTTCTTCCTCCGGAGACAGAATAGAAAGCTCCAGGGGCGGTAGAATGATGGAGGCGGTAAGGGGTGGGGGGGAGAAAGGAAGTTACGCGAAGTGAAGGGAAACGAAGAGAGAAGGGAACAGGGGACACGGGGTACAGCGGGGGCAGGGGCGTAATCACAGGGGCGTTGAATTAGGGAAGCATCGAAGGGAGTAGTGGGGTATCAAGGGACGCGAGGATAGAAGGGTGGAGGGGGACGAGTCGACGGTGGAGGACCGGGGTCACCGCCATATTATATTTAGCGAGACACAGCCGTGTGAATGAACTGCATATCTCAGGAACGCGTACACGCACTCCTCCAGACGATATTTTTCAAATATTCCTTCTTCCCTGTCCCCCTACTCCCTCCTCCGCTAATTCCTTAACCTATTCTTTCACGGAGATTCCTTTTAGTCTGAATATGGCGACGATCGGGGTAATCGTGGCGATTCTTGATGCTCGGTCAAATGAAATATATGCATTTAAAAAAAAAAAAGACACGGTGGTTCACCTGAATCTACAACAGGGTAAAAACAATTTCTACTTTATCTACCTTGATTCTTTGTATTCTTTTAACGAATAGAATTTGAGTAGGTATTGTGCAAATAGATACTGGATAAATGTACAAGATGCATCTCGGTGACGTTTTCCCTCGTTTCGGGAGAGTAATTTGAAAAATTGCTGGGCTTATGCTTTGGCAAGGAGCATTAGTGGACCTAGAAAGGAAATCCTATCTTCGTAAGATTGTGCGTAATATCTGGCAGAAAGTATATCGAGAAACAGTGTCGTTGTTGAAGAATGACTCGTCAAAAAACGAGCAAAATGGCGTCTATATAGTTAAAACGCAATACGGTGAATTCGATTTGAACATAAATAGAATGAAACGCAATTAATATTATCTGATTATTTGAAGAAACTTGTACGAAGAATACCGAGAACTTTTACCTTAACACGGGGTCGAATAAATTGATCACTCTTTAAGTTCGACTGTTTGTTGTACACACAGGCGTGTACCGCTTTGCCTTCTATTAAATTGTTTTTTTTTTCTCCCCCCTTTTCTCAGACTTCGAATGGTCACTTACGACTTTCACCGAGGGATCACGGTAATATCGGCGTCGATTGTTTGTTTTCGCGCACAGGCTCGGTTTTCAACGCGTGATCCTTTATCTCTGCCGATACATTTCGCGTCGGCACGGTTCGCGGAATGTAACGTTAGCCGGTGAACAACGAACGTTCAGGTGTTGCACGCGTGTGCACTCGTATCCGTTTATCGATCATACGTTTTTTTCGAAACTGATCGTGGAAAAAAATAATTCCTACCAGTGCCACCAAGTGGTATCCAAACGATTAATTTTCAGCGGATAATTTAAATATCCTCGGTCTTTTCGGTGTCGGTAAGAAGTTGGCGATCACAGATATTCCCGGTACCGTCTTCCATTTCTCCAAATTTCTCCACATCCTAACTATACCTAACATCAGGACCGACCTAACGATCGTTACAAATTTCTCACGAAGCTAAGCATGGCTCTTTCTATATATAGAACAAAATTGTCCCCGAGATTAATTATTATAACCAGAAAAGAAGCATTTCTCTCATATAAATTTGCTACCATGTGTCAATTTCATTGGCATTCCAACTTGTTCCCATTACGTGTTCAGCAAGGGGGATATGGTAATTGAACGATGGTCGTAAATTATCGCTACGAAGTTAATTACACAGAGGGTCGACACGGATTCCTGTCCATTGTTGCAGACGGAATCGCCATGGTTACAGAGAAACGTGGACGCGAAGGAGATAGATTTCTCCGCGAACCGCAAGAAATCCGTGAAAAGAAAGAATGTACGGGAAAGGAGGAAGATGGTGAGAGAAAGAGAGAGAGAGAGAGAGAGAGCGAAGTAAAAGAAGAGAAGAAGAAACGTCCCCATAGCAACACGACGCGATCAGGCTTACTTGCTTGGTTGCATGTAGTATATAC